GACCTTAATTCTCTGGGCCTCCAATATTCAAATCCATCCAGACATTCAAACCCATCCTTCCTGCAGCAATGAAACCTCAAGAAGAGACCAGGTGGGGTGTGCCATCTGGGATGAGCAGCGCTTCTCACCAAGACAAGGAGGATCAAGATGTCAGACTTTTAATCTGACCTACATAACTGTTCTCACCTGGATATTTTCCATTTCTTTCCCACTTGATTTACACAGAAAAGCAAGAAATTTTACAATGGTTATGTGCCATATCGAACCCACATAATTGATTAGAAAAATCACCAACCCTCTTCTTTACTTTGTGACTGGTAGATCTGGCCTTAGCAGTGACAACCTTATTGAGATTCCAGCTTTGCAAAGTGCCAAGTGTCAAAAGTAAAAGGCTTTATCAGATAACTTACCATAGCTGTAATTTTTGCTCAGATATGTTGCCAAAGTTGGCTTCACCTTTTTGCACTTGCACCGATCTGCAAAAGGTAAAAGAGAGACAGAAAGTTGGAAAAGGGTACAGAATCACTCTGGGGAGGAGAAGGAGAGGGAACGTTGAGGAAAAAAGAACTCACCGGGGCTTAGGCGTTTACAGTCAATGTCCAGAGGCCTTTCCTGCACCATCATGTCTGGTGTGATGTCTATCCACTTTACATCTGAAACGCAAACAGGGCCACATGGGTGTGGGTGGTGATTTGGTCTGTTCACCCAACTGGAATAAAGAACTATCTGAAGATATAAACTTACACAGCATCATAACAAGAACAGTATCCTAATAGTAAAAATGACATGCGATTATCTATTGATTCTTTTATAACGACATCCCAGGGCTTTGGAGAGGAGTATATTTTGGGTGAGACTTTGCCTATCCAAGCACAAATGATGTGAATGTACATCCATTTAACCTGGCTGGTGCATAGAGGTACATAAACATTATTCCCTATCAAAGCCATAGTAAAATGTTGATTTTTCCAAGCTGACTGTTTACAGTAATCAAAATAACCAAAATATTTCCAAATCCCCACCTCATATTTTGCAGTACAGAAATAGTCCATAGCTATATAACCAAAACCAAGCATAACCCTCTATCACTTATATAATTTAAGCAATAAATTTTTTTTCCTAAAACTCTGAATTAGAGAGGAGTTTCACTTAACCGCTCCTCCTTCATGTTTAAAGCAATGCTCCGAAGTATAACTTCAGAGACTACACTACAGCAACACTTTATGTTTAAATGTGGGATAACCTAGGTCAGAGGAAGCCTAGATAAAAGAATGCAAAAATATTCTTAGGCTTCATTTCAAGAAGTGAATTTAAACCTGCCCCTTCTTCTTAGAAAAGCAGCCGAATGACTAAAGAGGAAGAGGAAGCAGAGATCAGATGAACTAAAATGCCACAGTTGGCTCCTGGTCAATGATCACGAAACACAAGTCACAATACTCCAGGGAGACTGCATTTACAAACCTCACTCCTGGCTGGGGAGTGATGAGGGTTACTGCTTTTTCAGAAAGGACTTTTAAGAAGTAGCATTAAATGTAGAGAGTATTAATGCACCTTCCTGGTGAGACTGTTTTAAGCATTAAATGAGTTAATACGTGTAATAAGCTTAACACTTGCTCAGATACATAGTACTACCGGTTTGCTATGATTATTTCTGTTATTACTGTAAGTGAAAACATTGCCAGTGGCTCCCTTTGTAAGCGATGCTTAGCTTCTGAGATTCCTGTGGGGAAATCAGACTTTTTCAGAATTGCACCCCCCCCCACCTCCTCCTCTAATTCTCACAGTGAAGTGGGATGGGGGCTGACCACCCCCTGGCAGCCTTAGGTGTGGCCGCCCAGTTCTCACGTGGCGGCAGCAGTCCCGGGCACCTCCTCACCTCCCACGTCCTTCCCCAGGCCTCACCCTCTGGGAGGTCAGTGACGATGGCTTCAGGCGAGATGCACACACCACGGTCGTAGACTGGCAGGTCGTCGCAGGCCAGGCTCTCGGGCCAGCTGTGGTTGTACATCTTCATGAGGGGCTCGCAGTCGTCGCGCGCGCGTTGGCACACCGACTTGCAGGGCTTGATGGGGTCGTGCAGGAACTCCAGGGTGCAGATGGGCGCGTACATGGCGCAGAGGAAGAAGCGCAGCACGGCGCTGCAGTTCACGTCCACCAGCTCCTCGTACTGCTCGATGGCCAGGATGGCGTTCTCCTGCGTGCTGTGGTGCAGGTGGTTGGGCATCCGCGTGATGTTCCAGGGCATGTGCCGGCACATGGGGATGCGCACCGCCTCGCAGGGTGCGCCGCGCACGCCCAGCGCCAGGCGCAGCCACAGGCACAGCGCCACCGCAACGGAGAGGAGCATGGCGCCGTCCTCCCGCGCTGCGACCCCGACAGGCAAAAAAGGCCCTTTTCTTCCCGCTCCCCTAATCTGGCCCCGTGCCGTCTCCGAGGAGGATGTCCTTGGTGGGCACAGGAGCGGTCCTGTCCCTAAGCTCCAGCCGGCAGCAACGCGGGGCCGCAGGGTCCGGCCGCGGATCTCTGCCGTCTGGCGCACAGGGCACTAGCAGCGCCAGCCCTCAGCCTCCGGGACGCCAACCCGCCCGGGCAGCTCCAGTCTCGGACCCCGCAGCTCCGAGCGCAGCCAGCCACGGCCATTGCAGGACCCTATTTATCCCGACACCTCCCCTGACGTGGGCTCTGAACGCTCGCTTGGCAGCTACAGGCGCGGCGCGGCGCGGGGGCTCCCCCTCGGCTGCCCCACCCCCAGGCCTCTGCGAGCAGGAGCGGTGACATCATCTCCTCCGGCTACAGCCCAGGGCTGTAGTCCTGCTTTGCCCAAAGTCCCTCCTTTCTAGTCTGGCCAGTCCTTTTTCTTCGGACCCAAGAAAAAGAGTCTCTAGCAGTTGTTTTGGACACCGGATACAAGAGGGGGGAAGAGAGACTTTCAAGAGAGAGAAAGATGCTTTTTTTTTTTGAGTAAAAGCTGAACTTTGCTTCTGCTGCCTTAGTTTCTCAAGTGTAGAGTTGGAGGGAGACGGGAACTGCCGCCGCCCTCTAATTGCGAAACATTTTTGCTTTCTCCAGTAGGGGGCATGAGGAGCGCTGAGGACAGTAGTGAGACTACCTTGCCCCGCCAAGGGAGAGTGCAGGAAAGGCTGGAACAGGATCTACACGTTATATAAGCCAGCCCACCCCGCCCCTAGTTGTGTGGAGTTTGTTTTTGTTGTTGTTGTTGTGGCTAGTAGACGCGAGTCTTGCCTGAAGTTTTTCCAGGTAGTAATTGGTTTGTACCTGCTCCAGGAACCCAATAGAAATGCTGGAAGGTGCAATAGCATTTTTCAGTTTGGGAAATGTCTTCTGTCTACCAACATTCGCCCTTCCTTCTAGATGGAACTCAGGAGAAAACAAAGAAAACTTTGGACACCACAGTCTGAAAGTTTTTTTCTCCTTCATGCCTAACAATTTCCAACCCAGCAGCTTAAAGTCTTGATTTTTGATGTGCTTGGAGACTGTTACTTGAGTTGAGTAAGAAGCTGTGTACCATGGAAAGCAAGTATGTATGCTTTGTTTCCTCTTTTATTTGCATTAGGGAGAGGTAGTAAATCCAACTGCTGGCTCAGCTATCCACAGAAAAGGGAGGCTTTATTGTTTTAAGGGCATATCAATCTTCAGGCAGTAAGACTTCTGGTATATGATACTTTCTTAGGGCATCAGCGATATGGAAATATGTTCTTTTAATGTTAATCTTTAAAACATAGTTTAATCTGAACTTAAGGCAGACAGGCTTTTTCTCTCCAAAGCTTAAACCCACAAAGTTAGGTTAGTTTTGATCTCCACCAGGACTAAGGATTAAAATAGCTGAGGAAAAAACAAGCACAGCTAACAACTAATGGGAATTTACAATGGACAAGGCATGAAGTTAAGCACTTTAAATGCATTATCTTATTTTTTCCGGGAACATAAATTAAACATAGTAAGTTAAAAGGATAAATGAGATGAGTACAATTCAGGATTCACTCAAAGATTCCAGTTCTATTTAACGGAAGCCCCGGGTGTCCTAATACAGCCAGGCCAATCAAGAGAGGTATTCTAGTTTCCTACAGAACACGTATCAAGCTCCAAAGATGCCAAACCAGGCTAGTAAAATATAATGCAAGGGGAACAGCCCAGATCACATCTCCAGCCATTTCGGCAGTAAAATCCAATGAGTCTAAATCTCTTGCTTAGTGAAAAGGATTTTCATTCAGAGTTCCTACCAAGGGAGCAAGAGAAAGAGCTGAACTGCCTACCCTTTTCCTATGAGTTGGTTGGGGAGGGCAAATTTGGAGAGGGATCAAACTTCTGCAACCGGTTTGAACCTGCTGCATCTGTTTATGCAAGTACCAATCACAAAGTCTCATGGGCTTTCCTGATGTTTTCTGATGGCATGTCCTTTGAGAAGCGGTGAGGGGAAGTGAAGAGCCCCTCTTTCTAAAGCTCTTACCTCACTAGGCCATTGGTAGTGTGTCTCTAGTATGTATACAGAGAGGAGGCAGCGGGCAGGGGTTCATCAGGAGAACCCGTCCACTTCCCTTCTCTTCATGCTATGATTCTAGAATACCCCACTTTAGCATTCAACCCACTATCACCTTACATTTATTTGCCAAAGTGTGGTAACTGAGGAAGTTGCCCTGGTCAGCGGCTTCTCTCTGGTGACTCCTTTTCAAGGTCCGCAAGCGCTTGCTCCTTCGCCCACCCTTTAAATATCTGGAGCTCTCTAAGGCTCCATCCTCAGCCCACTTTTCACTCTCAACATTCCCCTCTACTCCAGGGTTTCTGAGACTTGGCATTTTTGACATTTGGGGCCAGATAATTCTTTATTGGTGGGGACAGCTGTCCTGTGCATTGTAGGAAGTTCAGTAGCATCCCTGGCCCCCACCTGCTAAATATCAGTGGCAGCCTTCTCCCCATCCCTGTTGTGACAATCAAACATGTCTTCAGATATTGCCAAATGCCAAATGTCCTTTGGGGCTAAATATTGCCCCCAGGAACCACTGTTTTACTCTTTGGCTTCAATTACCACCTATGTGCCCATGGCTTCTAAATCCAAAAACTCTGCTGCTTTCTGGAAGTATTTACCCAACTGCTCTTTGGGTATTTCCACTAGAATATCTCATAATCATCTCAAAGTCAATCAGTCCTAAAATGAATTTATCTTCTTTCCTCACTCAGGACTGAATTCCCAGTGCCCCAAACCAGAAGCCTCTCCTTCTGAAACTAAATCCTTCTCTATAGTTCCCCACTCCCTTCCACCCTCCTCTCCATCCCATCTACCTCTGCCTTAGCTCAGGCAGGATGTCCTGCCAGGATTATAACAGCAGCTTCCTCTGCCGTCTCCTGCCTTCTATCTGGCCCTGCCCATTCTCCACACTGTCACCTGAGTGAGCTTCCCAAGGCGGACACCTCATGGTGCCCCTCCCAGGCTTTAGATTGATTGATGGCTCTCACTGTCCTCAATATTAATGGCAAAATCCTTAAAATGAATGATATGGCTCCAGATCACCCTCTGCCTTGTACTTGAACCCAACGCTATACTCATTTTCTCTTGTCCTCATGTCCTTCATTCAGGAATGTTCTGTCTCACTTTCACCTGGCTCATTCTTCCTCATCCTTGAAATGTAGCTCAAATGGAAAGGAGCTATAAACTTGGAAAGTAAGTCTTTCTTTTTAGTTGCTTTCTTTTTTCTTGATTCCATAATTTAGATCTTAGCATTACATAAACATAAACCCAGTTAACTTTGTTCTTGAAGGTGGTAAGCACCCCAGACACACAGACCACTTGGCTTGCAGTATTGCCAGGCAATGGGAAGGGAGCAGTCTCACTGCAATGTGACCTGCAGACAATGTCCCTGAACTAGGCTGAACCCAAGGGCCTATTCCTAGTTCCCCAGACCCTTCATTGGGATTGGGGGCTGGGAAGTGGCCATAAGGAATAGCTAGTACCATTTCTTAAGGTACTCCACTCTTAATTTGGAGGAAAAAGGCTGCCGTTTTGGCAAGGGGCACAGTATGTGGGGGGCACAGCAAGAGCAGTAGCTCTGCCTTCTGGATCTTGCCCTAGAAATTGCCCCCAGCATGTGATCGCCTATTGAACACTGCAGTTAATGGAGACACATACCCCTTCTAAAACACGATGCCTTTCAGGATGCTAGTGGCACCACTGCCACTGCATTTCCTGTTGGCAGCAGTGAGCAGTGAAAACAGAAGCGGCAGCAGGCAGCGTCCAAGGCAGCAATAGCTCCTGTGCGATTCACTGGAGCCCTCCCAGCGCGTCCTGATCGCCACTGCTGCAGAGGCCACCGCGGGGACTGGAAGCACCTTCGCCCAGACCACACTCCCCGCGCAGTGCGGAGAGAAGCGGCGGGAGCCACTCTGCGCCCAGACGTCTCAGCGCCCCCTCGGGCTCGGGCTCGGGCTCGCCCCCGGGGGTGAAGGGTCGTGATGCCAGGCCCCGCTCCCCTCCGCGTGTCCCGGGGGGCCTTGGGCGCCTGGCTGCTGGGCAGCCTCTGGGTCTGGACTCTGGGCGGCCTGTGCGGCCTGGGGGCGGCGGGCTTCCCGGGGGCGCCGCGCCCGTGCCGGGCGCCGCAGCAGTGGGAGGGGCGCCAGGTTCTGTACCAGCAGAGGACCGGGCGCAACAGCCGCGCCCTGCTCTCCTACGACGGGCTGAACCAGCGCGTGCGGGTGCTGGACGAGAGGAAGGCGCTGATCCCCTGCAAGAGGTACAGGGGCCCCGGGGTGGGGGGATGCCAGGGCGGGCCTGGGGACGGCGAAGGCGCGGGGACCTGAGCCTGGGAGCTCGCTTTGCAGCCCTTGTGGCTTCTCCCTTCTCCCAAAGAGATCGTTTGCCAGAAGGGTCGATTGGGTACAAGTAAGGTTCGGGTCTGGAAGCGGGGCTGGGCCTACGGAGTGTGGCGTGCCGGCGGCGGGCACTTAGTAATGTCCAGCGGGGGAGGTGAAGAAACGACCCAGCAAGAGCGGGATCCGCTTGCAGGGCGCCCCCATGCCACATTCGCCCACGTCTGCACGCTGCTGAGTCAGGCCTGTGGCTCTCTGAGGCCCTGGAGCGTAGGGCGTGTCTTCTGTCCTATCTCATTTCTTCCTGGAGCCATCTGTGAAGGAGATGCACAGAATACACATTTTCTAAGAAATATTTTTTTACATTTTAACGCTATATGGCAACACTACAAAGGGTGTGGGGAATTGATAAAAAAAATATTCCACTAAGAAACTCATCACCTTGCTACAACTATTGAAATTTTCATCTGCTCCCTTAAGGTTTTTTGTTTGTTTTAAAGCAAATTGTGCATACCGTGATCAAAAAGCCATATATTATCTGAATCCTTTTTAGTTAACATTGTCTCTTACATGTTCTTATTTGCCACCATTGTATTAGTTGGCTCCCTATTTTTAATGTCTGCACAATATTCCATACAGCGATAGAGGCATATTATGCTATTTACATTTTTTTCACCACTGGTCTGGTAATTCACCTTTCCACATGTGTTGTGACAGAGGACCCTTTTTCTAAGACCTAATCTTACTTTTGGCCCCTTTAAGACCTAATTTCTAATTTGGGATCAGCAGGGCTTCCTTCCAGAGCCCTGCTGTTTTTCTATGTGTCACTGTCCTCTCTTTATGGCATTTGCTTCTTTAGGAGTTGCAATGTGAACGTCTATGGTTTAAGGTTCCAGTGGGCAGCCAAAGGGCACCATTAGTTTCTAGAACGAAACAGATCTTAATGTTATCGTTCCATCTAGAAGGATTTGTTGAAGTATTGTGCTACTTGAAGAATGTATGGTAAGGACAAACCGTTTCAAACAATATTATTCAGGGGTGCAAGATAATGCATTATGAGGTATGTAGTATGGAGCTGCAGAGTCATCATGGTGGACTGGGAATAGCTGCAAAGTCTTGCAGGAACATGAATGTTTTCAGCTGGGTCTTGAAGGGCATAGTAGTAATAATAATTAGACCAACCAATATTTGAGTGCTTATATATTGGGCATGGTGTGGAGGACTTTACACATATATGATTTAGTTTAAATCTCAAAATAACTTTGAAAGTATAGATTTTATGATCCCCATTTTACAGACAGTGACTTTGAGGTCTAGGGAAATGAAACACTTTTCTCAAGATCACACAGCTGGTACTTGAGGAAGCTGGGTGGATTTGGACACCTGTGGTTTACCAGGCTCACATTTCCTCTTTCATTTAACAAGGATTTGTTCATGTTAGGCACTGTGTATAAACAGCATGGGTTCCGGTATTCAGGGAGGTCAGAGGCTGGAGTTGGAGTCTCATGAATAAAAAATTCCCATATAGTGAGAGGAGGGGTAAGTAGGGATGTGATGAGAACCCCTCAGTTGGGCACCTAACCCAGGCTTTCTGGAGGAGGTGAAATATGAGTGAGTTCTGGAGTACCTATATGAGGTGACCAGGGGAGATGTGGATGGAAGACTGGGCCAGGGGGTGTGGGTGTATCCACACCCAGTATGTGTGCCATCCTGGGGCTTACAGGGCTGAGTATATTCTGAGAACTGCAGGCCAGTCACGATTAGGGCTGAAGCACAGAGGATGACAAAGGGTCATACACGGAAGGAGGTTTAAACCGTGGAATGCCATGATTAGATTGTATAAAGATCACTGGATGCATCCTTGAGAACTCATCCCCAAGATTCAGGTGCAAAATGGAACAAAGTTGAGCAAGAGTAAAAGCAAAAACACAACCTAGGAGATTTTTGTAGTGGTTCAGGTGAAAGATGGCTAGTAGTAATGGGAATAGTGAGAAAAAGGGAAGTGGGTGAGTTAGGGAAGTATTGTAATTGGAGGGCATGTGAATGATTGGGTGGTGTGCGGCAGGGGTGTTGAGGGAGATGGAAGCGTAAAGAAGGAAGCCCCCATTTTTGGGTCCTGAAGCTAATGGTCTGATGGCATGGAGTAGATGGTCATGCTGTTCCTTGAGATGGGGCTTGACTGTGTGCACTTCTGATTAGGGTGGATTGCTGCTGGGTGTGTGTTCATGGGGAGGCATGTACAACAGTGCTGCATTGATGAAGAGTCATGTTGAAGATGGACTGGAATGGCCTAGAGTACATTGCTGATGCAGAGCAGTGCGGCTAGGAGAAGGATAAGGATTCATCTCCCCAAAGGTGATATTTTTAAGAATTTAAGAAATTAGGCTTTAGAGTCAGACAAATCTGGATCCGAATCTAGGTTCTGAATATAGGTCTTTAGGTAAGTTGCTATAGCTTTCTGAGCATCGGTTTCCTCATTTACAAAATGGAAATACTTATAGTGCCTAATTTATTGGATTATTGTGGGTATTAAATGAGTTGAAGTATGTAAAGAACACAGTACAGTGTTTGATGGTGTGTAGAAGATGCTTTGCCGTGGCCAAGGTGTCCCCATCACCACCACCACCATCATCATCCTGGTGAAGTCACCATGCCCCAGAGACTCATTGCCAGCCCTTGGGGGTCAGAAACTTGATCCAGCAGCACGCTCCTTTGGGAGCAGCCTGTGAGTAAGCAAACTCAAGTGCTAACCTGTATATTCCAATGAGTTTAGTAGCTGGCACGGGGACCAGAATTCTCAAATCCACAAGACGAGGTCATTCTCTCCCTGTAGTCAGAACTCTGTGGGGAGCCAAATTATAATCAGGAGGTTGTGAGCAAAGAGTTGGAGCAAATTCATTGCGCAAACATCTAATGATTGCTTGCCCTAGGCTAGGCGGTATGTTCAATGTTGAGCTTTCCATCCTGAATAAGGCAGGCCAGCCCAGGGTAAGGCTTAATGGTAATCAGATGAAGATAAAGCAATACCTTCATTTTCACAATAGAGATGCCTCGTTGGGGGTTCTGTGCTACCCCAAATCTGCTGCTCCTGACTCCTTCAACACCAAAGAGCCTTGGTGGGCTCTGCTCAAGTCTGTCTGAGGAATCCTTCTCCTTCCATGACTCCATGACTGATTGATAGTCTTTACATGTGTGTATTATACCTTTAGTGGGGTCACGGCCAAGTCTTGCTGGCCTGCAAACTCTTTTGTCCCTTTGTAGTTATTTCTGATTTCTCAGCCCTGATCTATTAAGTGTTGGTTTTACAGTTTAGCTTTTAGAAGGAGATTTTATTCCTTTCTTTCCCAAGTCCTTGGCAAGGTTCTGTCTCTCAGTTCCATCGCTGGCCCTAAATCAGATGTGGAAAAGAATGTTTAGTTCACAGATGTATTTTTGAGCTCTTTAAATGTAGATTTGTTGGAACAAACTTAGAAACTTTTTCAGGTATCAGCAGTTTGGCCAAGAAACCAGATGTTATTTGAAGAAAATGTGTATGAATTGTCTCTTCATTTTTATTAGTAAGTTGAGAAGTAAGATTTAGAATTGGATCAACTTCTCAAGATTTTCATTTTGCATCCAGATAGTTATGGAAAATCCCACTGATAGTTACTGTGAAATGACTAGGATTTTCCAGGCTCTCTTGTCCCTGAGACGATGGAAAAGATTAAACAATTTTACAAGCTTCAGATAAGACAAGCCGGAGCAGAGAATGGGAAATATTAGTAATTGATACTATTTTGTTTTCTGGTTCCAGCTGTCTTTCTTGTCTCCTTGGTTAAATTCACAAGTATTTGTTTGGAAGACTGAAGGAAAAGCAAGAAGATTATTTTCATATTTCAGGCAACATGTTGAACTTTATGTGAGAAGCAGTGTAGATGCTGAATGAACCCTCCCAGGCCAGCAGTAACTTACTGTTCCTGCTTACAAAGTGATGACTTGGATGTTGGAATCAATGAAGCTACTAATGTAGAATGAGCAGAGAGGCATTGAAAAATATGCATACAGGGGTAACATATTGGAAGACTATTCAATTGCCAATCCTACATGTTCTATTGGGGATTTTTATTTATAAAAGATGAAAAAATATGTCATAAAATGGAGTGGCAAGTGGATTCTTATTCAAGTTCTGATTAATTCATATCTGTCTCAGTTTTCCCAGAGCATGTTATTTCTTGGAGAACAAAATAGCATTTTTTTTTTTTTTAACAGAGAACCAACCTGCTGTAGTGGAGAGAGTGGGGGATTAGAAGTTAGACTGTCATGGGATGCCAACCATGGCTTCTAATCCTGGCTTCACCACAATTTGGTCCCTTATTTTTCAGAACCACAGTGTTTTATTCATCTTTTAATTAAATTTTAATCATGCTTACAATATTGATACTAAATAATTTTTAGGCCTTATTTCTTAAAAGCTAGATACAGATAGAATTAAATGAGATCCTGAAAGCACCGATTGTACTTTTATTATATCGGTCTGCTTCACTGTTTCTACCATGATGCAAGGAACTTGACACAGATTCTAAAATTTTTCTCAAATTGTCCCTTTATGTAGATAAATTCAAGGTTCTTTTTCTTTCTTCACCTTTTCACCTAAGCCTGTGCTTATAGGTAGAGAAAAGGAAAAGGCTAACTTGAAATGCTGTGGGCCCAAACACGGAAGACTCCTCTCTACTGGGCCTCCTTTCATGCTAGTAATTGAGTAGGATGGCTTGCGAGAGTGTTGGTCCAAGTATCTTCTGCGAGCAATTAGTTCCAAAGGCTGTTATCATACTGAGTAACTTCAGTGATCATATGGGTTTGGGAATGAGGGTAAGAATTCTTTGTCAAATACATTATTTTATTTTGATAACTATCTCACAATTACAGAGAAGTTGCAATTATAATA